CAAAAAATACTTCACTTTTCAGCTCGGAGATCCACCGCCCGATCCAAGAGCGGTATCCCCAGCACCGGGCAATACAAAGCGGATGATACGTAATATGACCGAATCTACTCAACGTTTAGATCCTCATCACAATAGTTTTCAACCAATTCGTGATCGTAGACTGAGTCCCGGCTCACAATATCTTTGAAAATGCCGCAGCACACTACCGTAACCCTGCTGAAATCTCTCTAAAAACCTCGACCATCCCTCTACGACAATTCGTATAATTTGGTGCTGCTTTCTATTTCTCTTGATGTCATCCATGTCATTATAGACTATCATGTCTTAAGGTGTCTTTTCATTAGTAGATTCAGTTACACTCTTCATGTGCTGTGCTATATGCTATTGATTGTTAGAGATTATTGATTGATGTTGCTTTGTGTCTGTCTGTAAGTGCGTGTGTGCGCTCTTGTTCCGTGTGTATGTGTGTCCATTGATACAGGCCTGAATTAAATGTTTTACTGCTTTTACTGAGCTACCTACATCTGTGGACTTCGTGTGTGTTGCTTCCCACTGTCGCTAAGTCATCGCCTCTGTTGATCAGGTGACGATTTCTCAAAATTCACAAATCAATTTCAGATTTTCAGGGGTCAGAGGTCTTTTATGTGATGCTTATGTGTGTTCAGTATTATAGGTGACTCCCACCAGCTGTATACTGTAATAATCAGTGCTATTTTCAGGCTGCCACTCAACCGCCAAAGGTATGCGCTCTGAATGTAGTCGATGTTATATGTATGTGTGTGTTGTCTGATGTCTATAATGTGATCTAACTTTCGGAAAAGAGACGTGCGGGTGGTTGCAAACAGGCAAAATGGCTTGCGCTCTAAGAAAACTATTAATCTCGAGGGATGTTTGGGGAACGTTGCTTGGTTGTTTCAATCTTGCTTGTTCGTTTGTGGTCGTGCAGTGATTGCATGAAATTTCGAAGAAAAGACATTTCGCTGAATCCTGAACAGGATGAACCGGCTGTCCCCATTCTGAGTGTTTTCAGGTCCCCATGGAAAGAAATGAGGCTAGGTCGTCGCTAGCGAAATTACTGACCTGGTCTCAATACCTCCATGGGGATGGCAGGCGCCGACCCATATAACTTTTTACTAAAAATCCTCGTAATCCATGGCTGTTGAGCCTTTTTCAGTCGAAATCTCGGCCACCTAGCCTACCATTTAGCTTTGGAAGATTAGCTTCACAGAATCATTGTGTTGTAAAATGGGAGCCCTGGATAATTCTATATCCCAGGCCTCGGCAACTATAACCAGACACGCTTAGCGCTGTTTTGTACAGTAAGGCTATTTTCTTGCCTCGACCCACACGTCTCTGCTCCGGGGCGTGTGAAAAGTGCGTGTGTGTTCATTCACAAGTAGTCAGTCGCTTCGCTTTCAATCGCACTCTAGAACGAAGATTTGGATGAGTTGGCACGGAAGAGTGAACAACTGCTGGAACGTTCGCGAGAGCGTCGAGCAGGATACAAACTCATTGACTCGGAGATCGTCAAAGAGGGACCCGAACCTGTCCCTCAGGCATTCAAAGTAAGTGTCTTGAAGATCTGTTGCTGCAAATTGTTAACTTTTATTCCACGACCCTCAAAATTAAGCCGCATCACCCTATTCATGCGTAGAATTGCAACGCGGTTATAGCACCGAATTGTGTGCTTTTAGAGATCGGCGACGTGCGTTATTTCAACCGACGACCGATGGGCCGACAGCGTTGCTGGCCACATGTTGACAACGTGTGATGCGGGACAGATTGCGCTTAGGTGACCGGTGTCCAATGTTGTCAACGCGTGGCCAACAACGCGGGCGAACGGTCGGTCGTCGGTTGAAACAACGCACGTCGTTGAACTCTGAAAATGCCCATTCACGTTTGCTATTAGAACATTTTAGGCAACAAAATCAAAGCTGTGTTAAAATCCATACTAGTCTTCGGAAAATCAAGAGGACGTGAAAAAATCACACGGCAACCCAAAAACTATGAAACAGATTCTCTTCCCTCTCAAAGGATCCAAAGAATCCTAAACAATGGGTAAAAACTCACGTTTTTCAAAACGCTCGTTTCAGGATCAAGTTCGCGATATGCTCGAGTCGCGAAACTCGCTCGAAACGTCGACGACACGGGAGCATGATCGTTCCGGATATGTCACGGTATTCCAAGCTGTTGCTTTGCGGCCTAGTTAGCGTGCGAGTGACCTAACCCCTTACCTACGTTTCTGGCCGACTTTCTGCATGAACAACGTAAAGGCGGTTCCGCAGAAAGCCAGTCCCTCCGTACGGAATGTGTGTGATTGCCTGATCACTACTAACACACCTTTGCAGGACGTTTCAACAGCAACTTGGCAATTCTCAACGCAGTCGTTCTCACCGCGATCCGTTGTGTCCGTAAATGGCGCCCGAGACGATATCCTCAAGGTCGGCACAGTCGATTTCCTTTTCCAGCTAACTGCTAGCAGTAGATTTAGTTCTTCTAATAACTACCATCGCTACTGACACATTTCTTCCTGCCTAATCACTGCATAACCACTACGCTAATGCTTTTGGCGCTTCGCTTTCAGAAGGAACGGGCTTGGCCACACGTAGCACGACAATCCACATCAGTAGCTGATGAATCCGGACGCTCTTTACATCAACTACAGGAGAGCTACGATCGGAAGGTGGAACGATTCGCCTCTATGCCGATGTTGCATGCGACGGATCGCACCTTTATACGAATGAAGGCCCGTTTGATGTGATCATCTAACTGATAAGGATGAGCTCATTAACGCTTTCCTCTTCCCTTGGAAATAACAACATTACTAAGATATTCAGCTCTATTACAGGATGATAAACCGAGGAGCATTATGAAGCGACGAGAACTCGAAACCAGAGATCAGATGCTGCATCCTTCAGCTGATAACCAGATTATCGAACAAAGGCAGTATCATCGTACGCAGAGTAACGTCAGTAACAAGGTAAGCTCTAAAGCCTTTGAAGGGTTGGCAAACTGTTTTATAAGCAACCAGTACTCCCCTTTTTAAAAAACGGCTTTTTCAGCCAGCTATCACGGAGACAGTACAGCGTTTCGAGGAGACGCGCCGTACAGAAGAGGTGGAACGACGTGTTCAACGTAAAGAACGTCGTGATCGTCGCTCCAGACATCATTCTTCGTCACGTCACCATGGCTCTCATGGATGGGAAAACGGCTATAGCTCTGGTTAGCATTCTGATCAGTTCTATGCACATCTATCTGTGGGCAATAATCCGTCAAACGTCGTTTTCTCAAACAACTGGGACCAAAGATGTATAGCAATTCTATAGGAATCACAGAAAATCGTTTTACATGCTGGTTAGCCACCTCCATTTTGAGTCTGAGTTGTTTCGAGATGACGAGATCATGCAAAAAACACTTACTAGTTAGACAAAGCCATGCTCACCGGCTCTTTCACAGAGCACTACTATGCATCGCGTTTGGTTCTACGTTCAAACAACGTGTGAGTTCTCGTGGAAGAAACAGGACCGCTAGGAAAAATCGATGTCNTTTGGTTCTACGTTCAAACAACGTGTGAGTTCTCGTGGAAGAAACAGGACCGCTAGGAAAAATCGATGTCTACTTTCAGTTGCAAAAATCACTGAAAAATAAAACATGTCTACCGTAACACATTGATTTGGATACACTTTCGGCCACGTTGTACATGAATGGCAGAGCTACCTTTTTGGTCGTTCCTTGTTGCGAATCCAGTGCAAATAACTTCCACAGACTACTCATCTATCACTTTTTTCAAGTAATCGATCTTTCTGGCGGTTCGTTACGGTTGTGAAGTTTTTCTGTTCCGTCTGAAGGTGAAGGGATGTATTGATGTGTGAGTGGTGGCAACTAATCGGCAGCGGAGGTTTCTAGAGCGTCGCATCGTTTCTGTTCCTCCTCCACAACGTATCGTCTACCAAGAATCGAAACGTTCAATGACCAGTGACGAAATCGACAAAGTCGTACGCGAAGCGTACGAAGCGGCTGAAGAAGCTCGTCGCGAATACTACCGTATGTTCTGTGTGACTAACACCTATGTGTGGGCCTGCATGCCTCT